GTAAGGTCCAGTCTCTTCGTGACGGATTCCTAGAGTTGGTGATGACAACGAACATACGTGGGTTGGTACGCTGTCAGGACGCCGAGGTATAGATAGGACGATTGTGGTCCTGAACCAAAGGCTCTGTTTGAAAAGCCTACCCATATTGCGGTGGTGGTTGGCGTGAGCCCATGAGCGAAGCCACATCTGCTCCGAACCAAAACCGAGAGGACCAGGAGGCTGTAAGTCGGACCTCCTCCACTCTTTTTATGAGGATTGTTTGTCGTCGTGTGTTGGATCCGGTTCACAGAAAACGCTGGATTACTCCCACGAGTGACGTGTTGATCCAATGGGATACTCAACTGTGCGCAGCTGAATGGAGTTGGAAGGTGTAAAGGTGATGCGTCCTCTCGTGACATAGGGATTTTTGCATTAAGCCCCCTCTTTTCTTTCACGTCCTTCTAGAAGCTTAGTCGTAAATGGCTGCTTCCACTAGTGTCCCTGACATGGTAAATCGTTTAACTGTAACACTTCCGGTGCCTAGCATCCAGCCACCCGAAAGGATTGTTTGTCGTCGTGTGTTGGATCCGGTTCACAGAAAACGCTGGATTACTCCCACGAGTGACGTGTTGATCCAATGGGATACTCAACTGTGCGCAGCTGAATGGAGTTGGAAGGTGTAAAGGTGATGCGTCCTCTCGTGACATAGGGATTTTTGCAATAAGCCCCCTCTTTTCTTTCACGTCCTTCTAGAAGCTTAGTCGTAAATGGCTGCTTCCACTAGTGTCCCTGACATGGTAAATCGTTTAACTGTAACACTTCCGGTGCCTAGCATCCATGCCACCCGAAGAAAGCACGAGGGCTGGGATACTGCCAGGTTTCCCTAGCCCACAGAAGGTAAGTCGAGAGACAGAGGTCTGGTTCGAATCAGCGGACCTTTCGGTCAGGAAACTTAATCCATCTCGCCCCCTGACATGACAATGAATATAGATATTCCATCTTCGTTCAATGAAATTGGCTGGTGTTCACATTGGGACCGGCTGTCTCCTGGTCAACCGGGATCTTCAGGAGTCCGGACCAACCGGATGTATGGAACTTTTATTCCATAACTCCCCGACCAAACAGATTCACCAAGCTGCAACAGTCATGTTGCTTAGAGCGGGGCCAAGTCATAATCAGGAGAATAATGCATTGGTTTCACTTTTCAGTTGTGTGCATGTACCAGAAACCTGTTTTTAAAGCATACATTGCCACAATGGGCATTCCACGCGTTGCAAACATCAAATATCAAAATTTTCGTACATGGGAGAGAAAACTGAGCTTCCAATATCAAAGGGTTGGCGACAGCCGATGGGGCGAAAAACAACCAGAAGATGAACAAGAGACGTTGGAACCACTAAGACAAGAAGCAGAAAAGCGCACCGTAGATTCTCCTCACATACCCTGGAATCAAAGCCGGCGCAGAATTACTTGATCTGATAACCTACCTGGTAGCTAGACACTTCTATGCCTCGAATCCCCAGCAGAAAGCGTTGGAGTGCTTGTCCTATCTGTTCAACAAGGTCTGCGATATTCAACAGTCGGATTGCCTTAAACAACCGTTTATAATCACACTTAGAGAAACCTGACTCACGCTAAACGTCTGAGATCTCGATAGACTGTTGCTCCATTTTGCAGACTGACTCGAAATGCGGGAAGGTAAGTGGAGTTGTTTCATGCTTAAATGTGGCTATGTCCACCCCGACACCACTCCTGAACCCTTATGTGATGCATTCGTCATCATGTTCATTGACAGCAGGTCAACTGCCATCTCCAATGGATGAAAGACAATTCGTTGATCAAGTTATAATTCAGGCTCTCCTGGGAAATGCGGAAGAGCAGACGATTGGTTGCCATCGCACTTTACGATGCATTTAGCTCGATGTTGTGTGACAGCCTACAGTGCCGTTGAGCGACTGGGTCGATCGATTCGTGCCACATGACCCAAGAAAATTCAGCGGTCGTACAAATCGTTTTTGGATAACCTAGCTAGTACCCAATTCAGTAAATGTATTGTGACTATATCGACTGCATTTACGTTACGTCGTCGGATCGATACCAGAAATGTGTTGGATAGCCGGTAGATGATGTGAAACGAATCGTGCTGACTGAGCACAATTGAAATCCCTTCACTCGGAGAAACGTCTCTACCTCATTTCGATGCCACGGAAACTTTTGAGGTTGAACATAATTTCCACTACCTCTTATATTCAGCTTGCACCATTTACATCCTATGGGTCACCTTTCCATTCAACCGCAACCGCCCCTCACCCACAGCGTATGGACCGTTGACCTCAACTGGCGCGTAATTGGTCAAAGTGCAGCGCTCACACGACACGGGACTAATAAAGCTTTGATTGGTCAATGGTTTATACTAGATGCTTCAGCAAGCTGGTTCGCCAGAATAAGAATTACTTTTAAGCTCCTTTGTCACTCTTCCACTCGTATACTACTGCCAATTGGCATCAGATGGTTCGAGAAGGTCGGCTCCGCACAGTCACAGCAAAAACCCACCACCAAATTGCCAATAATTCACTTGAAGCTTTCCTGAGAGACCACATTGTTGGCCGTAATCTGAGGGCCATTTCAGGTATTTATTGGACCGGTGGGCAATCCCGCAGAGTGACAGATGCTGAGTTTTCTGCCTGAGCTGTGGACGAAACACTGCCGTTCTTCATCTGATCTGAGTATCCGGAGGCTGTACTCCTGAGGCTATGCAATAAGATTTTGAACTGAGGAAAAATTTAGGAGTTGGATAATAGCCTTGAAATACTTGCGCTGGACTTCTTCCAACCTGTTGTTCTTGCCTGGTTAGCTGGAAAATAGGAAGCAATACATACCCATGGGCTAGTCTGCCCTTTTCAGAGGATAGTATCCTGAAACATACAGGAGCCGTATGGATCACATCACTCTGAACCCCACACCTAATATTTTCCGAGTGATCGAGGTAGATTTCTTTTTGCGTGAATGCACCATGTCTGGATTCCTCTGCACCCCAGGACAGTGCGTGATAAGCCCCAAGAGGGTTCGACTGAATAATAGATATCTACGTTGATTATTTGGGTGTTTCCGGCCTCTACTACTTGGAAATTACGCCAAACGCCAAACAAATCGTTGAGAAATACACCTGTCGCAGTTGAGCTGCGTCCAAGAACAAAGTATCACTCGCTGTGAATTGAAGTCGTCATGATATCGCAGCTATTCCATATTTAGCACTTCAGCGTGGTAATAACAATGATGTTTATTCCCAACTAGTGGGTGTCGTACCTAAAGTGTTGCACATAAGTTTACAGTTAGAGTAAGGGCATGACTGGTGAAGTTTTTGGGTACTGGGAACTTCGTGGAAGAGACGGTGATATACAGAGTTGGCACTATCTGAAGAAGACTTGGCTATTCCCGAGGCGACACGCGTAGGGAACCAAAATTACAAGGGCCTCCCTTTCTTATGGGAAATACATCGAGGCCCATTAGCCGCACAGTGCACTTAGCCGCAAAATCTTTACGAGTGGGGTAAAACTTTTAGCGCCAAAATTTGCATTTTGCTGCGTTTGCCCAAACCAAAAACCACCCTAATGTACTTTCATTTTACCAGCTCACCAAATTACATTGTTTAATGAAGCATTTATACCTCTGGTGAAAATGTCTGATGGAATAATTTCTCAGCGTGGCTGAGACCCTGGAGTGCCCCAATAGGGCTCAAAAATTTGGACTGGTACCCTGAACTCAATCGCCAGATTGCTCTAGTCCCTCAAGGACATGTCATAGCATTCGAAAAATCAATTCCTTTGAGCGAACACTGAGCTCCAAGTATATCAGATACCATCGTTAAGCTTTGAAATTGGCGGGAACAATACGGTGGAGGCCATAGCAGAGGCCTCCTTCCTGGTACGTGATAGAAAAACTTCAAACTGCAGAAAACGTGGAACCTGAATAACGGATCTTGGGGGCAGCAGAACTTTCCCCATTTGACCGACCAATTTGAATTGGAGCCTAAAACCGGGCGGTCAATATTTGCGCAATTGATTTGAACTTTCAAAAGCTACGACGTGTCTCTGATAAATATAAAAACAAAACTGCGTTCAGAGTACGAGTCAAAACGTTTTGGCCCCATTTATGCATCCCGGGGTTTCGCATTGCTAGGTAAGTAACCCACCAGACGTTTTCTTCCAGGGGTGTGATTGCTTCAGCGGACAATGAAATTCGGTTGGCTGCGAAATTGTGAACGTCAATTAAAATAGTTTTCAGCATGAGCACAAGAGCAAAACGTTTTATTCCACTCCCCAGGGTTTTGCACCTAAGAGCATTGTGCGGTCAATGGACCACCTAAAACAATCACATAGGCTTCGTTGCCTTGGACTCTTGGGCTCATTGCCAGGGTAAAGCAAAAGCGTAAGTGGGATAATATGCAATAGGGATGAATTGTAGTAGCAAACTCTGAATTACAGTGCGCGTCGAAACTGGAGAGACTCACTAGTGCTACTGCTAGAGCGGGGTCCGGTGCAGTTCCTTGAAAGAAATAGTTTACGCGCAAGAAGCAAAGTGAACTGCACGAAAAATGGGTGCCTTGATGAAGAGTACAAAGCGAAAGATATCGAGATATTTAGGCGCAATGGAGGGATCAGCAACTTGGGATGAACGCATCTCGAAGGAGTCTGGGTCTAGATGAAGACTCTGCATGTGGTTGCAGGAAAGGGAACGAGTGAGCGAAAGGGCGCCTTCAGAGTAGAAAGTAAGCAGTTGCCTTTATGCTCTCAAACTGGTGATGTCAGTGCCGCGCCGTCATTGCACTGGGATGCATCAGTTTCTGGATAGTCCCGTGATGGACGTCGTGATTGGGGAAATGCTGTTCCGTGGGCAGCGGATACGTTGCGGGTTTGTGGGAATTCCGAAGGAAGATCAAACCAACATACTATTGCAAGTAGCATGTGCTTTCTTGTCCGGTAGGGGACACTACCAGACCGTGATAAGGAACTTTGAAGTAAGTCGCTTTTTATAACAAAGGGGCGGGACATGAATGCACTTCAACAGAACACTAACAAACACATTACTTCGCTTGCTTTAGAGAGTGGAATTTAACAGAACTCTGTCAAACACCGTAAAAGTCTCCAATCTCCACGTTTGCGTGAGCAAATGAGAAGAACGCGGTGGTCTACTTCGCCATTACCAAGCTAGGTTCACCTCCACAGGATTATTCCACTGAGACCTTGAGTTTTTCCGAAGAAAAAGTTGAAACACTTCCGGCAAGCTGATTTACCGCCTGCTCGATGGGCCATCCAAAGCCTTCAATAAGGTTTTCTGTTGAAAAGATAAGCTTTAGTTCGCACACAAAGCTTTTGCTAGATCCTCCTTCCATCTATCAGACAGCAACTGGTGGCGCGGC